TCCCTTGGCAGCCCTGGGTTGGGCTTGGGTCAAGGACCTGGCCCCACAGGCAGGTGCCGCTTCCCAAATCTCGTTACTACTTTTTGGGGATGGAAAAAAAGGGTAAAAAAATTATTCAGGAGCCATGGATTTCTCCTGCCTCCTTCCAAAAAAAAAGGCTGATGCAACAGCAGTGCTGCAGTGGGAGGTCACTGTTCCCCACAGCCCCCAGCTCCCCACCCATGCCCCAAGCACCCCAGCCAGGGGGGCTGCAGCCACCTCCTCCTGGAAGCGGTTTGGGGTTTCTGCCGGACGCTTGCAGAAAGCTGTTTGAAGCTCTGGAAAGAGAAACGATTCCTCCTCCTCCTCCTCTTCCTCCCTGCCCAGAAATAGGTCATTTAATTACCCCCTTTCCAACCCCAACCACCACTGAGTCAGGACAGGAGGTGGGAGCGCTTCCACCCCGCGCCAGCAGCAGCCCAAAGCCGCTGTGCACGGCTTTGACCTTGAGCCATTGTGCCAGCAGCACTGGGCTGACGGGGCACAGCCAGCACAGATGGCAGGGGCTCAGCTGCCCACCTCTGCATTCCAGCTCGTGCTGGTCACTCACAGCATGAGGCTCGGGCCATGGGTGCTGCCGACCCCCTCCACGTGCACCACAAGCAGGGCCATGTGCTGCCCCCAGGAAAAGCAAGGGCTGATTGCTATCTGGGAAATCCTACGAGTCCTGCTCAGCCCCGGCACGGTCCAGTCCGGCTGCCTCGGCTCAGGACACCACGGTGGCTCCTGACACATCCCAGCACAGGCACCACCCTGCCCTTCCAGCTCGTCCTCACCGCGGGCACCGGGACACCGGGCCGGCACCGCTCCGGCCGCTCGGGCTTTGGTGTGGCACCGCACGCCTGCTCTGCTGGGGACTGCAGCACGGAGCTATTCAAAGTCCCACTGGGCAGCATGGCAGCACCCAGCACTGGGAACAGGCCCCAGCAGCTGTTCCAGCATTCCAGAAGTCCACCACAACCAGGACATCTCGCCATGAGTGGAGCCCTCCGGGTGACAGGGATGGTGGCAGCAAGGACCCATCACCATTGCACACACCTCATCTCATTGTTCCCTCTTACATAGGGGAAGATGCTCACCTATAGCCTGGGAATCATGGAGCAGCTGCTGTGTCCCTCCAGCCTTGTCGTGACCCACACAAAAACAGGCCGAGTTTCCCCAAAAAACTGTTCCCATGCAGCTCAGAGGCCCAAGTCCCCCGCCTTTTGCGCCCCCATTTAAGAGAAAGCAAACCTAGACCCCACCCCCCCAAAACAAATCACTCTAAATTGAAGTATTTATCAAACCTTTGCTCTCCACATGGGCACTTTTTTTAGGATTTTTTAAAGGATGCAGGCTCTTGTCTGTTTTGCAAGCAGTGGGAAGCTACAGCAGGGAGACACCAAGAGTGAGGGGAAAGGAAAAATTAAAGAAGAACCACAAGCAAAGCAAAGTGGAGTGCAAGATGCAAACCGACAGATCCGGGGAGGCAGAGCTGCTGGCAGGCAGACGGCGAGATCCATCTTGAAAGCAAAAGCAAACTGCTGCTCACACAGGCAGAGGGAAAAACCTAGAGGTCTTCAGCACTGCCTGAGCTCTGATCAAACAAAGTGATTAACAAATCTCAGCTTTTTATTGAAAGCTTATCTAATTAGAGGAAAAAAGGAAAGGAAAAAATAAAACCAAACCCCTGAGAATCACATCGAGTGGTGAAGTCCCAGTGTTGGGGGGAGGTGATGCACCCCACAGTCCTGCTGGCACAAGGAGAGGGCAAGCACAGCCAAGGGCACCCAGTGCTCACCCCATGGCACCAACACAGCCACACGTTTCCATGCCTCCCCAGCCTTCCTCCTCCTCCCCTTCCTCCTCCTCACTTGCTCTCAGCAGCAGAGCCAAACCTTCCCGGGAGCAGGACTGTCATCTACAATAGAGTCACCTCTGAACCCGGGACAGCTCAGCCTCCAGGAACTGCCAAACTAGCGATAAAAATAAGAAAGAGCCCCTGGCCCGAGGAGTTCACCCTCCGAACAGATGGGACGGCGGCGGGCTGAGGCAGGGGGATATTTTTAGCTCTGGTTGCAGATGGGGAAGTCCAGCACAGCATCGACACGGCAGCCCCATCGCCACCCGTGCAGCTCACCGTGGCTTGGGTCACCTCCATGTGCACTCCCGGGTATTAACAGGATTTAATGGGATGCTGCCTGCTCACTTCCTGAGCCTCAGGCACCACCTTCCAGGGCAGCTCACACCATCACAGCTCCACATGGCATCTCAGCACCACTGCCGGGGGCACCCAGTGGGGCAGCGGTGGTCCGGGGGAGCGGAATCAATGCCAGCAACCCACAGCCCGCTCCCTCTTTCCCCTTCACTCCCAAAAAGGCCACGTCCCTGCAATCCGTCACAGAGGAGAGATGCCACGCAGCATCCCATGGCGGGTTCTTCCCAGCACGCTCCAGGCGATGCCAACCTGACCCTGGCAAGCACTCTGGCTTGGAAAAACAGAGGGAAAGGCAATTTCAGCCCCTCACCACAGACTTTTTTAGGTTCAAATGACTCGCCCAGGGTGTTAGACGCATAGCTTGTAGCTGAGCACTCCACACCTAGCTGAAGCCCTCCTGCTCCTTCAGGATGTGCCAAGCAGCATCTCCCCCCACCCTCACATCCATCCTGCCTCCGTGAGCCGGGGCCTGCACCAGCACTGACACCTCCCTGCCGGGCAGCTGCCGGCACCAGCGCCCGGCACGCGCCGGCACCGCGGCAGCCGGGTCCCGCTCCCGTACTTTTCGTCCGACACTTTCGGCTTTGTTCTCCCTCTCACAAAGCCGCCGTGAGCCTGCCCTGGCAGCACGAAGGGACCTTGAAGTGGATGCAGTTTATGACCATATTTAGGCTCCTTTATGTTGCCAGAGTCACAGTAAAGGGCTGCAGAATGAGACTCAGACCCCACTTGTTTCACTTGGCAGCCTGGGAAAAATCCACCCTGGGTGACTCCAGCACCGTCCATGCCTCCGCCCTGCCCGCTCGGGGACAGCACAAAATAGCAACAGCCCTTTCCAGCTCCGCAGTTGCACTTCCCAAGAGGGGCCAGGAGCCCCATACCAGTGAGGAGGGGGGAATTAAACACATTAACCACCTCTCCCATTCCGAGAACACCACCGAAGCGTGGGGAAGCAAAGGGACGTGCCCAAGGTCACCTATTGGCAAAGCCAGCACTTCTCAAGGTCCCAAGAGCCCCCCAGCAGGACTGAGCACACACACAGGGACGTGACCACTCAGCATGAGGAGCCCCCGAGCTGCTTTGTGTTGGGGGAGAGCCTGGGCAGGAATGGAAGCCCTGAGCCACCTGACATGGGAGCTGATGCCCCTTCAACACGAGCACGTCAAATAAATCCCTGCTGTGGCAGAGGCACCGGCGAAACCCGAGCAGTGGCCCCCACATCGGCCACCTGCTTGGAGCCCGCACAAGTGCAGATGCCTCAGCTCGGCAAAGCCGTGACAACTGCAGGGGCTGAAGGGCAAGGTGGTGGGAGTGCAAAGGAGAATCCATGAGGCCCATCCACAGGTCTGTGACCTTCAGGAGCCCATGGCGGTGATCCTGAGGGCAGGCAGAAAGAGCAGCTTGCTTTGGAGCTCCAAAGAGACAGGGGCAGCTCAGTGCTCCCACACCAGGGCCACCAGCACCAAATCAGCTCAGGGAAGGAAAGAACATAACAAGAATAAACCCTTACCTACCCCCAAATTCTGCACCCCTGGCCTGGTGAGCGTCCCCGTCTCACTGAGGCCAGCACAGCCCCTTCTTCCTCAGCAGCAAGATTCCAGGCTGGCTGTCCTGGGACAGTGGTTTGAGAACATCCACCTTGGAGAAGCAACGCCAGCCCAAAAATCCATACACGGCCACGCACTGCAGGAGAAGGGGCTCTAGAGGGCCAGGATCGGGCCTTCCCCGTTGGGGGCTCAGAGGCGCTGAGCTGAAGTGCCGGGGGAATTTGCAGCAGCACAGGTGTCCCTGTCCCTGCCCAGACCCCTGGCCACAGCAAGGGGGAGTCACTAGCCAAAACCGCGTGGCAGCTCCGACACTTGTGGAGGATTAGGAGGAGGGGACAGCCCGGCTGGTGGCCGTGCAGAGCTGGGGGCACCATGGGGCTCCACGGGTGCAGGGGCTTTAAGAGCTGCGTGTGTGCCCCAACTGACCGTGTGCTGCTCTTGTGCGTCAGGGGAGAAAAGGAAAATAAATAAAAGAATAAAAACCAACGACAAAGCCAAAGGGGCTCGGGAGCTGCAGGCAAGGGATAAGCTGCGGTCGAGCGGGCGTCACAGATGCCGAACAGCCGCAGATGCCGGACGCCCTGTCACCGCATCCCCGCTCAGCATCGCCGGTCCCTCCGGCCGAGGCAGCGCTCGGCAGCCCGGGGAGGCCGCGGCAGCCGTGACGCGGTCTGGCCCCAGCACGACACCCTGCTCCGGCCGCTGCCGGATGGAGCGAGGCGCTGAGCCCCCCCGGACAAACAATCCCAGCTGTCGGCTCCGGAGCCGGCGCACGGCCAAGCCACGGGCGCTCCTGCACTCGATTTACCGCCGGCTCTCCCAAAATCTGCTCCTGCCAATCAAACCGCAGCCCCCGCCGGCACCCGGAGCCTCGCCGGCGGGTCCCCCACGGTCCCCATGCCATCGCCCGATGTCATAGCAGGGAGGGCACCCCCGAAATCCACCGGGCCCTGCTTCTCCCCGCGTCCCGCCAGGCCGCAGCGGGTCCCGTTCGGGGTGGACGCAGTGTCGCGGGTGGGCTCGCGGTCTGTCCCCACGGGGGTCCCACGGGGACGCTGCCCACCGCCCCGGAGCGGGGTGGGCACCCCCAGTGCGGCCCCCACCCCACCGGCAGCACCCCGCGGGACCATCCCCGTGTGCCGCACCCGGCACCCGCATCCCCCCGCGCCCCGCACCCCCGGTGTCCCGCGTCTCTCCGCGTCCCGCGCCGCCCTCACCTGTCCCCGCAGCGCCCGGGCCGAGCCGCCACCTCTTCCCCTTCCTCCCGCTCCCTCCTTCACCTCTGCACCATTTTGGTGACGGTTTGTTTTGAAGCCGAGGGGGGAGGAGGGAGGAGGGGGGCGCGGGGGAAGGATGTGCCGCTGCCGCCGCCGCCGCCGCTGCTCCCGCCCCCGCCCATCCCCGCGCCTCGGGCGGCTCCGTGCGGCGCGGGGGTCGGGGGGGTCCCTGCGCTCCCCGCACCCCAAACACCGCCGGGCGGAGCGGGGCTCCGCGCCCCGCCGAGGCCTCCCGGGGAAGGAGAAGGGGGGGGGGGGTGTCGTTCTCGGAAGTAAGCGCCAGAATCGCGAAACGTTAAAAGAAATCAAAAATAATTACAAATAACAATTAGAAGGAGGGAAAAAAAAAAAAAAAAAGCCGACGGCGAAGAAGCGCGAGAGCGGGAGGGACCCACCTGAGCGCGGCGCGGACCGGCCGCTGCCGGGGCTGCGGCGGAGCCGGCGGGGAGCGACCATGGCCGGGCCCGGCCCAGCGTCAGGGGCGGCGGCGGCGGCGCGGGCGGCCAATGGCCGCGGCGGGGGGGAGCGAGCGGGGCCGGGGGCCGGGGTGGGACCGGGGCCGGGGGGCCGAGCCCGGGGAACCGGGGCCGAGCGGGGCCGGGGGGCCGAGCCCGGGGAACCGGGGCCGAGCGGGGCCGGGGGCCGGGGTGGGACCGGGCCCGGGGGGCCGAGCCCGGGGAACCGGGGCCGAGCGGGGCCGGGGGCCGAGCCCGGGGAACCGGGCCCGGGGGGCCGAGCTCGGGGAACCGGGGCCGGGGGAGCTGAGCCTGGGGGAACCGAGGTCTGGTGAGGCCGGGTTGGGACCGGGGCCAGGGGAGCTGAGCCTGGGGGAACTGAGGTCTGGTGGGGCCGGGGTATGACCGGGGACAGGGGGACTGAGCCTGGGGAACCGGGGCGGTGCGGGACCGGGGCCGGGGGGGCTGAGCCTGTGGGAACCGAGGTCTAGCGGGGCCGAGCCGGGCCCGGCGGTGCGCTGAGCCGGGGAGGGGCAGCGGTGGCCGGCGGTGGGGAGTGCTGGGCCGGGAGCTGCCCTCTGCCACCCTCAGAGCCTGGCCTGGCCCCGCTCGTGTTCCCCAGCGTGGGCCGGAGTGTCCGGCCCGGCCCCGCGGGGCGATGGGGGCATGGTGGGTTCTGCCCCAGCTTCCATGGGGGGTCAGGCTCAGGACAGCGGGTCAGCAGGGGCCAGGTGTCCCTGAAGCCACACAGGTGACACCGGGGGGGTCTAGGTGTCCCTGAAGCCACACAGGTGACACCGGGGGGGTCCAGGTGTCCCTGAAGCCACACAGGTGACACCAGGGGGGTTCCAGGTGTCCCTGAAGCCACACAGGTGACACTGGGGGGGTCCAGGTGTCCCTGAAGCCACACAGGTGATACCGGGGGGGTCCAGGTGTCCCTGAAGCCACACAGGTGACACCGGCTGCCCGGGAAGGTGCCAGTTGTGCTGCTGGGATGCTGGATACAGCACTCGGACGCAGTGGAAGATCCCAGTTGTATGTCCAGCACCGGCACGGAGCTCTGGTGGGTACAAGGCTGGCCGGTGTGCCCGGACACAGCCAGGGGCTGCTCCTGCCTCACTGCACTGGGGCTCCCGGGGCTCCCAGCCCTCACCCACCGTGCCACATCCTCAGCCAAGCACATGGCACCGGCACTGGGCTCCCCGTGCTCCCCGGCAGCAGGGCCACAGCATCCAGACCCTGCGCCAAGCCCTCTACATTCCCAGCTCCTAAAGGTCACAGACCTCTGGATGGGCCTCATGGATTCTCCTTTCCACTCCCACCCCAAAGTAGCTGCAACCCAGATAAATCGCTCTGTGCTACCTGCAAGAAACCCAACAGGTCAAACAGAGACTCCCCTCTCTATGCCAGGACAGTTTGGGGCTGTGAATTTGGGCAGGAATCTGGCTTTTAGGGGGTTGGGTAACTAGTTCTGTTCCTGTCTCATCACCATGTCCAGTGCTGCTTATCCACAGCCTCAGAACAGTGTCGGTGGTGGGTGCAAGCATCCTTGGGGCTGGGGGGATGCAGACCACCCACCTACACCCCAGGTCTGCACTGGTGGGAGCTGCTGATCCCTCTGGATGAGCTCTCCTAGTGCTGGGAATGCTGGAGCAGTGCCATATGGCAGAGCTGGGGGTCAGCATGGGGCACAGGCTGTCCTTTCCCAGGGATGGATGTGGCATGGCAGGCCTGGGCAGGCTCCCACGTGCCACACAAAGCAGTAAAAATAAAAATCAGGCCGGTGTGGGACTGCTTCTGACAGAAAAAGACTGGAGCCAGGAGTCAGAGGCTCCACAGCAGATGTTTCATGGGCCCCCCTGACTGGCAGAATGCAGCCCACCTTCCATACTGGTGACACAGAGCCAGCACGAGGCTGGTGCAACTCCAGTGCTCCATAAAAATCCTCAGTGACGGCTCTGTCACATACAAAGCCACTGTCCCAGCTCAGGGGGGGCTGGGGGCAGTGACAGGGATGTTCGAGCCCTGTTGGTCACATTCAGGTGGAGCGCTGAGTATTTGAGTGCTCCCAGTGTCACTGGAACACGAAACCAGCCCAGGGGAGCTGCCAGGCATGGGGCAGAGTCGTGTTGTCACCCAGATGATGCCCATAGCCATCAATGCAGCAGCACCCTGGTCCCCGTGCACTGGCCTCCACAACACAGGGCACTGCACAAGCCCAAAACGCCCAATTTCCTCCCCAAAGGCCTGGGGTGACCTGGGATGGGCTGGGGTGTGCTCCCATCACAGCTGTTCGTCATGGCCAGCTCTGCCCCGAGCCCCATCCCAGGCCAGGAGGGCAGGGAGAAGTTCCCCGATGCCAGTGACTCAGCTGAGGGGGTTGTTTTGCAACACGCTGGGCGTGGGAGGCTCCTGGTGTGTGGAAAGTAGGTGGCAAATTATCCAAATTATCCAAGGTGTGTGGTGAGCTCAGGGCCCGGGGAGGCTGGTAGGCACGGAGCAGCCCTGGGGGTGACGGACCTGCACCCCGAGCTGGGGTGAGGGATCCCACTCCAGGGCTTGCAGCGGGTGCTGGAGAACAGGATGGTGACTCTGGGATCAGCTTCCCCTGGGTCTGGTGCCCGTGGGCCTTCCTCACACTGAGCTTGGACAAAGAAAGCAAAGGCACAAGGGCAAGCGAGAGGCAACGATGGTCTCGGCAGAGAGGCCGGATCTGACCAAGCATCACTGGTGGCATGGCCACCCCTCTGACTCAGTGACACAGTTTCCTGCTGGCTGCTTCCCCCGTCCCAGTATGTATTTCTAGTGGACTTTTCTGTGTGTTTGGCTTTTTGGGGCTGTTTGTTGTCAGTTAGTTATTTTATTATATTTATTGTTAGAAATAAGGCTATTTTTAGGACGCTGTTGGTTTAGATAGAGATGGGATTAGTCATCTCACCAAGAGCTGTTTGCAGTCTCTCCTCAAGGATTCTCTGGGGTTTGTTTTCCAATCAACTGAGCTCATGTATCCAAAGATATAAAAAATAAAAATAGTCAGAATAACATGCAACAGCCGTGCTCTGGTGCCGCTCTCTGAGTTACAGGATGAAAATGAGGGAAGGATCCATCCAACCCAGGATATTTATGAGACAAAGACGAGAACATTACTATGAACCTCAAAGTATTTTGGAAAGTCAGTTTGAGCTGCCTTTTTTTTTTTTTTTTTTTTTTTTTTTTTTTTTTTTTTTTTTTTTTTTTTTTTTTTTTTTTTTTTTTTTTTCTCTTGGGAACCAAATGCTGAGTAACTCCCTTCCCACACCAGGCTGCTGCTTTGTACAGCTGGTGCGCAGCCTCTTGACAGTGGAAACTGCTTTCCCTTGCCCTATGCCAGCAGGAAGGAGGCAGGACTCCTGGGTCCTCCAAGATATGCAGCCACCTACACCCTCAGGCTACTAAAAAAAAAAAAAGGCACCCAAAAACCTAAAGTGGGAAAGACATTTGTCCCTCTCTTGCACAGAGCTCAGGGAGGGGAGTGGGGTGAGGGCTGGGGGCAAAGCCAAGAGCCCGAGAGCAATCTCGTACTGCAGAGCAGCATCTCCAGCCTCCTTGCCACGACTTTTTGTCTCTCTGCCAGTGTTCCTCCTTCTGAACCGAGTGGGAGCAGAGCTCCATGCGAGTTTTGGGGAGACCAGTTTAGCTCCTAAAGACGGGTTGCATGCAGGGAGGAATCACAGTTCATGGCTTATCTCATCCCTCCCTGGCGTGGAAGTGCTGCTCCAGCTTGTCCCTGGCACTGCCGGTGCCCTTGGTATGCAGAGCTGAAAGCTCTGCAAGAGCCTTGAAAGCCCTGGAAGAGGGAGGGCATGGGGGTCCTGCCATGCCACATCGGCTGGACCTGGCCGGGGTGGGGGTGATGCCCTTGGCAGCGGCACCTCGGGACGGGGAGAGGAGCAGAGCCGCGCACGGAGAGGCGCTCACGGGGTCACTGCCAGCTCCCCGGCCGGGGGACAGCCCCGGTGACCCGCAGGGTCTGTGCCAGCCGCGTTCCTGGGCCACCCGTGACCCGCTGCCTCGCTGGGCACAGCGCGGCCGGCCGCGGGGACGGGAGCGGCACACGTGTGGTGACAATACGGGGGGGCAGCGCCGCCTTCACGCGGCCCCTGGCCCCCGCCGCCCACCGGGATTCGGGCAGGGCAGGAGGATTATTTGCCCTGGCGGCTGGCCCAGGTCCCAGCACACGCCGGGGAGGGGGGCGATGTGGCACGGACGAGGCTGGCAGCGATGCTCCCGGGCGACCCTGCCGGGCTGCGTGCGGGGTCCCCCCTGCCCCGGCCGTGCACCCCCGGCGGCCCCCGCCCCTGCGAGCGCTGCCTTCCTCCCTGCCCCCCTTCCTCTCCAAGTCTAAATTCTCCCACAGCGTCCATTGACGTCCTGCCTGCGTCACCGTCTCCAGCACAACCAGACAGCACGTGGGAGAGGCAGGTTAAAGCGGCAGGGCCCTGGGAGGGCTCCAGCTGCGCCCCCCCGGCAGCGGGGCCGCTGCGGAGGGGCCGCCCCGAGCCCTCCGCCCGACGGGACCCGGCTCCCGGTGCCGCGGCCGGGACGTGCTTCCTGCCTCGCCGCACCGGGAATCAGCGCGGGC